ATATTTGTAAATAGGGAGGGGTGGAGGGGTTGAAGGGAGGGCAGGGGAAGGGGGAAAAATAAGAACCAAGAGAGACTATGTAAAGGTGCAAATTTTCAATGATGAATGTCATTATATTGTATACCTAAAATGTACCAATAAAATTAATTTAAAAAGAACAAACAAAGACCTAATAAATGGAGAAACAATCCAATAGTGGATTAGAAGACTCAGTATAATAAAGATGTCAATTTTCTTGAAATTGTTACATAAGTTTAATGCAATTCCAGTCAAAATCCCAGCAAGATTTTTTGTAGATCTAGACAAACTTTAAAAATTTATGTGGAAAGGCACAAGCCCTAGGACAGCCAAGACAATATTAAGAAAAAAATGATAAAATGGGAGGAACTTCTCTACTAACTTTTTAAGTTTTATTTTATTTTCATTTATGAAAATAAACATTTACTTAGTATAATAAAAATCACAATAAATTATTAATTGTAATTTCTAAATTAGTAGTTTTGACTTCCTAATGCACTTTTAAAATATTTTTCCTATAGTTTTTAATTATTTCCTCTTTAATTGTCACCTTTATGAAAGTTGTTTTGTTATATGTTCTATAGTGAGAATTGAAAGACAAATTGGTGTAAAAATAGACACAGATCAATGGAACAGAACAGAGAATCCAGAAAAAGACACATACAAATATACCCTACTAAATTTTGATTAAGGTCCAAAAATAATTTAATGGAGAAAGAATAAATTTTCAAGAAATAATGCTAGAAAAATTTGACATCTATAGGGAAAAGAAAGAAAGAAAAGAGATAGAAAAGAAAAGGTTAGGTCAAGGTTACTTAACCTAAACCTTATAGCTTATAGAAAAATTAGCTAAAGATGGCTCACAGATGCCTAGGGATTGGGGTGTAGGAGATGTAGAACAGTGGTAGAGCATTTCTCCTATATGTATGAGGCCTTGGGTTCTATTCCCATCAAATAAAAAGGGAGGGATCATAAAGTTAGTTAAAGTGAAGCATGAAAATATAACATAAACGCTTAGGAGAAAACAGAAAATTTGTGTGATAGAGAGCTAAGCACAAAATTACTAGACTTGACACCCAAAACACAATCAGTAGAATGAAAAATGGATAAATTAGACCTCATCCAAACAACTTTTGCTTGGTGAAACACCCTGTTGTGAGGCTGAAAAGGCAATGTACTGATGGGAAGGTTGCAAATCACATATTTGACACAAAGGACTAGTATTTATGATATATGTATAAAGAACTCTTGCTGGGCATGGTGGCACATTCCTGTAATTCCAGCACTGTGCAAGACCAAGGCAAGTGGATTGTAAGTTCAAGCCCAGCCTACGCAATTTTGCAACTTAATGAGACCTTGTCTCAAAATAAAAAATAAAAAAGAGCTGGGCATATTGCTCAGTGTGAATCCCCACTGTCAAGGAAAAAAAACCCCGAAACTACAACTATCATACAACGTAACAATTGCATTCTTTGGCTAGTGCGGTTTCCAAGGAAATGAAAATTTATGTTCACAGAAAATTATGTATACGAAATTTCATAGTAGTATACATAAAAGCCTAAGTCTGTAAACAATGTCCTTTAGCAAATGGATAGTTAAACTGTGTAATATCCATAGCATGGAATAATACTTAATAATAAAAAGGAATAAACTATTGATGCACACAACAACTTGAATGAAATTTGATAGATTATGCTGAGTGAAAAAAAAGCCAATCTCAAAGGGCTACATACTATATGAATCATATGTACTGTATGATTTTGAATTGAAAAATTTTAGAAATACAGGAAAGATTAGGGGTTGTCAAGGGTTAAGCATAGGTCAAGCTAGAGAAGGAAGGAGGTGGAGTTAGCAACAAAGTGGTCCTTGTCATGATGGAACTAATCCGTATTTTGGGGGGAGTACTGGGGTTGAACCCAGGGCCTTCCCACTGAGCTACATCCACAGCCCTTGTTAATTTGTGTGTGTGTGTGTGTGTGTGTGTGTGTGTGTGTGTGTTTTAAGCCAGGGTCTCATTAAATTGCTAAGTTTCCCAAGTTAGGCTTGAATAGTGATTCTCCAGTCTCAGCCTCCAGGGTGCTGAGATTACAGGTGCATGCCACCTGGCCGGCCTGTTCTGTATCCTCACTTGTAGGGACAGGCACAGGAACCTACCCATGTGATAAAATTTCATAGAGCTAAATATACAAATACATACACAAGTAAAACTGGGAAAGTCTAACCATCAGTGGATTATGTCAAGTCAATATGCTTGTGAGGTTGTACTATGGCATTGTGAAGTGTTAACATTGGAGGAAACTGAATGAAATGTACAAGCAGATTTCTTTGTATTATTTCTTACCATTGTATGTGGATACATAATTATCTTTCAATAAAAATCAACAACACTGCAAATTAGACCTTTCTCCTCCCCTTCCCTCCCTGACTCCCCCCTCCCCTACCCCGGTATTTGTTAAACATTTACCAGCATGTAGAATCCCCTTCTGGTGGAAGAATGGACTTTGTATTCATAGAGCTCATCGGGATTTATTTCCTGAATGTCTCACAGGAGACAAAATAGGGGACTAGAAGCAATCAAAGAGCCTGTGGCTTTGGGAGAGTAGTTTTCTTTCCCTTGTTTTTGGTTTCCTCATCAGTAAAATTAAGTTATTACTAGAGGGAAGGAAAGTGAACACCTACAGAGAATCTATTTATACCTATGTCTCTTTCCCTGGCCCTCTATGGTTTGAATGGGATTTGTCTCCCAAAGTTTCATGTACTGGAAGCTTAGTTCCCAGTAGCAGTATCAAGGTGGTATAGCTTTAAGAAGTAGGGCCTAGCAGAAGGTGGTTAGGACATTGAGGATGCTGCCTTCAGAAGGGATTAATGTAGTTCTCATGGGACCCTGGTTAGGTTCAACTAGAGTGTCTTGCATGTGACCCTTTCCACACACATTCCCATCATTATGATACCAGCCATTGGGCTAGGGATTTAGCTCAGTGGTTTCACCGCCTGCTGCACAAGTGCAAGGACCCAAGTTCGATCCCCCGTACCAAAAAAAAAAAAAAGCCATCCATCACAAGGCCCTCACCAGATCTGAGCAGAAGCCAGAATCATGCTCCTGGATCCCCAGAACCGTGAGCTAAATAAACCTCTTTTCTTTATAAAGTACGCAACCTCAGGTATTTTGTTATACCAAGTAGAAAATAGACTGATAGGCACTATGAGTTTCTACGTTATGGATGGGAAAACAGAGGCTGAGATACATGCCTGCCAAAGAACAGAGCTGAGGTTAAAGACCAAAGCCCAGGTTCTTTTTTTTTTTAAACATTTTTTCTTAATACTGTAATTTAGAAATTTTAGGCATTTTTGTCTGACTGCTGGATAACAAATATATTTTCATATGTAATGTGCACTAACCTAACACTTTCACTTTTCATGTTTAATTCTTTTTTTTGTTAAATTCTTTTGTTGGTACATTTTAGGTATACAACACAATTACATTTCTCATTGAAGCCCAGGTTCTTTTCATTATTGCCTGCTGCCTGGAAGCCTTGAGCCTAAATCTTAAATAAGGCAGCCTCCCCTGGGAGAAGGTGAATTGGGAAGAGGGAATGTCCCATCTTCTGAGTGGAGCAGGTTGGAAAGGATTTAGCCCAACCCCACTAAGCACGTAAGGTTGCACCAGAAGCCACAGACTTCATGAGGCTGGTCTCCTTCCATTCACACTATCCTGAGTGCTCAGGGGTGGCTGCTCGTTTCCCCTGGTTTGGTGTCTATTCCCATGGTTGCCTGTACCGCAAATGCAAGAGAGCCCCAAAGGCCAAGCACACTTCCCTTACAGAGTGGGCAGGCAGAGGATTCTGGTCAGTGGCTGTGAGCCACAAAAATGGAGGCATCAACCCTGGATGGCCAGGCCCAGAGGCCAGGACTGAGCCATGAAGAAAGCAAGAAATATTGCCCTGAGTTGGAGACTACATTGCTCAAGAGATTGAATTCTAATTGTGGGCAATCTCCTCCCAAACTCTTTTCTCTCAGACTCTTCAGCTGTACTGCCCATTATAGTCAAAGGCAAGGTAGTTCAGTGGTTAGAGCCCTGAGCTAGAGATCAGGACACATGAACTTTACCCAGTCCTACAACTTTCCTCTAAGACTTTAGATCATCCTTTTTTTTCCCTCTGCAAGTCTATGCTCTCATCCACAAAATGAGGGTGTAAGGTTAGGGGTCTCCAAGGCTTCTCTAAGCTCTGGCAGCCCGCGTGGTGAAGGTAGGCTCTAAGATCCACATACAGGGCCTGCCTGAATCCACCACAGATCACAAACATTATTGGAACAGAAGTCCTAGTCGGATTTCATTTTTCTCCCAAGGCTGTTTATTGCCTAACAAAATGTACTTAGTGGTAAAATCGTGACTGTGATGTAAAGTGTAGGCTACAAACCCAGAGACAAAAGAGGGGGGAGGGGTAGGCAGGACAGAGTCAGAAGAGGGAGGACTATGTAGAGGGTCAGGAAGCCTCAAATTCACAGGAGCCCCTCATGAACATGGGCACCATTCCTTATTTATGCACCTCCTCTGCCCTGTCTGGGTTCCGCGTGGTCTCCCCTTCTTGTTAGCTTTTCAGCTGCACACCAGGCCCCAGCTGGCAGTGGCTAATTGCAATCAGCAGGTGAGAAATGTAGGTTCTCCGAAAAGGAATTATCTCCAGCGCTGGGAACCATTCTGGGAAATGTAACAGACCTGGGAAGAGAGGGGGAGATGTTTAAAAGCTGAACTTCTGTGAAAAGCATTAATTGAAAAAGACAGCACCGCGCACCAGGAACCCATGACTCGCTCGCCTGAAAATATAATGAAGCAACTTAGTGTGGAAGGAAAGATGGGGGAGCATTTCCATTTCTGCACAAGCAGCTCCTGCCTCGTGCACACAAGCTCTGCCTGCCCTCTTTTTCCAAGAGACCCAGAGAGCACAAAGGTTTGTTCTCAGAGTTTCATCTTTTACCTTTCTGTTTTTCTGCATGAGTAAAATCACTTCACTGAGCTAAGGACTTTTTATTTATGTTTTAAAGAGTGACTTCACACAATCCACTGTGAAGCTGTATGACTTGAGAAATAAGGTTCAGAATTGGTTCACAGTCTCCTGAGGTCACCCAACACCCAGGTGTTCATTTGGTTTTGTGCCAAGGGAGGGAGTGGGCTGTGGGTGCAGCCATGTACCCCGAGAGGCTGTTCAGCTCCTTGGGGAGGCAAGAGACCCGTAAAGTTCAAAGTCTTGGATGGAGGCTCGCCTTGCCCTCAGGCCTAAGCTGGGCTCCTGTCAGAAGCACCTGGGACAGGCAAAAAGCCCAGGTGGCCTTGCTGGCCTCACCACCTGGCCCTGTAAACGCCCACCTGCTCACCTACAGAATCGGCTTCTCTTTGTGTGTTATCAGGAGAGGGAGTGAAAAGCGTACCAGAGGGGTGATTTGAATTTCATTTTCTCAATATGTCCCCCTGTGGGGAACACTGCGTGGCATGCATGCCGATTCAAAGAAAACTGCCTCTCTCGCGGGGGACCAAGCATAGGCATGGGCAGCTCACATTGCACAGGGCTGTGGAGCGCCCTGAAAACCGCCTGAGGGGGTCACACAATGGAGCGGGGGCTGGCCCCACAGCCTTTACGGAGGAGCCATGTGATTTGGATGGGCCTCAGAACCCTGTGGATCACAGTGTCCTTGCCTATAAAATGAGCAAATTGTACACTGCGACCCTTCACCTCGCTTTGCCTCTCAGATTCCATAAACGGCAAGTGATAAGATGGGGCTACAAACACAAACGATTCACTCCTCAAAAGAAATGTTTCCTGGGTTTTCTTGGAGGGTAGGTGGCTTTGTTTTCCCTTCCTTTTGGTTGTTTGTAGGACAAAGGGGAGGGAGAGGTTAGGATCTGGAACTGATCTCAAAAGGAACCACAATCCCTGGTGGGAGGTCACAGTAAGGACAGACACTCTGATGAGGCTGGGGAATCTTTGTCCACCTGCAAGTGCCCCCTCCCCCCAACTCTCCAGGCACCCCAAGAGCCAAAGGAATGTCAGAAGAGGATTAAAGGCCCCCCGGGGGGAGGAGATAAAGAGGCCCCAAGACCTTCAGCCTTGGAGCCAAACCCCAAGCTTTGTGATCAAAAGACAAACAGCCATTCCCACCGGGTCTCTCAAATCCGCTGAGCGGCACAAATGTTTCCTCTTTATAAACAAGCTTACCTGAAGAGGCGAAGCACACCAGACCTTGAAATCCAATGCAGTTTTTGGCAGACCCCTCAGGAGAAACTGCTGCAGACAGCTTATCAAGTGCCTTTCTCACTTCTCTCAGAAATGAGATGTCCAAGTTTGGACATAAACCGAAAACAAACAAAATCAGCCTGCCTCTTCATGCCTGCTTCCCCATTCTGACACAGGGAAGGTTGAGACTATGAGAAGGTTTAGAATTGGAAGCTGCTGAAAGGATTTTAGAGAGGCCTGTGGGTGGAGAAGGGAAGCAGAGAGCCTGCAGCCTCCTTCCAACAAATACTGGGCTCTGTTCCACCGGCTTCTCAATTCTAGGGGGCGCAATTCACAGCAAAGCCTGCCAAGCTTTAATACAAAACTAATGGTACCCGGAGGAGTAGGCAAGACAAAGGTCTCAAAAACTGCCCACTACGTGCCACCACTTGGATACAGCAGAGCACTGACAGAGCACATCTGTGCCCTAGTGAAGCTCTATGCTCATGATGCATCTGTATAGCACAGTAGAAGGAAATTCTGCTATAATGAGAACACCCAAGGGAGAGGGATACAGGGTATTGTGATTTCTATAGAGTCTGTTGGTCAGGGAAGGCCTCACTGAGATGACTTTGATCAAAGACATGAAGGACTGACAGTGAGCCCTGCCTTCAGGCTTTCTGGGATAAGAGGGATCTGGGTAGAGGGGACAGTGAATGCAAATGTCCCAAAGGCAAAGCATGTCTGGCAGAGCCAAAGTGCACCACAGAAGCCAGTGGAGCCCAAATAGAGAGACTGAGGGTGTCTGGGCAGGCCCTTGGTGCAATAGAGAATCACAGAACATGGCAGCAGGTGCCCCACCGCATACACAATGCCCCATTAGCCTGCTCTGTTTGGTTTCAATCTCAGTCACCTCTAGAGGCTCATGGGCTGGTTCTCCATTAACTAACACCTAATCTCAGATAGAGTCCCATTTAGTTAATAAGCAACTAGGGGTGATACCCAAACCCCCTCCCTCCCTGGCTCCTTGGATCGCCTGCACTTCAGTGACCACGGCTCTAAAGATTAGCCAGGCCTCAGACCTCCAAACAGCCATGGGAGTGCCTTAAGACTGACAGCTGTGGAATCCTCTCTGTGATGAAGTGTTGGGGACCTAATACCACAGGGTCTCCCACACTGTCTCCTGCCACCATCATCTTAGCAGGGCTTCCAATGCTGCAACTTGTAGCTGGAAGCATCATGGGGTTGGGGACATGTGGAGAGAGGGATGGTGACTTGAAGGTAGGTCTCACCAACTCCCCCAGTCTCACTGCAGAGGTGACACACACCCTCTCTCTTCCCTTATCTTGCCACACAGAGAATGATTAAATAAGTTTTTCTGGCATTCACCCACAACCTTTTCCCACATAGAAAGTACAGAAGCCTCTGGAAAGAATGAACTGCTTCCTGGACTCATCTGGTTTTGCTCAGGCTCTCTCACCCAAGCATCCAGGATGGATTCAGCGTCTGTCATACTTATGTACTCAAATGCCCTGGTTCAGAAGCATGCACACAGAGCCTACCCTGCACAACATGAGATTGGATTCAAGGGGTGACTCAGGCATGTTGATGATGAGTTATTGGCTACAGACAGCAAAGATGTCCTGGTCCAGAACTTCCTCATTGGATTTTCAGCATTTATCAACACTAGTACATTGCACCATGTAGAGAGAGTCTCTAAGCAGAGATGACACCAGAAGCAGAAGCTTGCTGTCCTTGAAGCCTGGGGACCTGTGTTCTGCTCCAAGACTGTGTCATGGTATCTTTTAGGGTTTGATCAGGGAAGCAGAAACCATGATGAAGTTCTAAAACAAGGGCCTTTGGGTAGAAAAGGAGCCCTCCATAGATGCAGGAGCTGATTAAGCAGTCTGTGTGTGTCTGTAGATGCACATCTGGTATTGAGCCTGAAGATGGTAGAGTTGGCAGTCAGCAAGGGGTGATGGATGTGAAGTAGGAGAGAACAAGGACAAACTTGGAAGAAGGACAAACTAGAGCCCCCCTGGACTGATAGGAATTGCAGCAGTTTCTCACCATCTCCAACTTCACCTGTGCAGGCAACCTGCGTGCTAGACTGGTGTCCTCCACATTGTGGCAGCTCACACGCCAGCCCCAGGACTCTGAGAAGCCCAGGGTGGAGGCCTGGTGGGCACTGGAGGGGCCCATAGCTGAGCCCATAGTTCAGTGATGGTATGTGTGAGCTGCAACAGTGCCCACCAGACCTCCTCCCAACCCTCAGATCGGAGGAATGGCTGCCCCTTCACATCTGCCTTCAAATTGCCCACCAGTTTCTCCTGGCCAACTCCAACCAGAGAAGGAGAGGAAACAAATTGTGGAAAACATCATTCCAGGTTAACTATTCTGGTACAGAGTCACCACAGTGACTTTCACCTCAGGCCTCAAGTTTTCTCACCTGCGACATCTACAGATTGCCTGAAGGAAACATTGGGAGCACCCATCTCATAAGTTTCTTTCCTTCCTCATTAGTGAGCCGGGAAGACAGGACATTGCTTCAGGTCAGTGGTTCAGGATAAACATGACTCAGCTCTTTTGTTATTCTGCAGGCAGAAAAGTTAGGCCTGAGATGTCTGGGGACAGGAATGACCCAAATTAGAATTAAATGCATGATCTCTTTGTCTAGTGCAGGGATTGGCAAATTTTTCCCTTAAGGGCCAGATATTAAAAACATTAGACTTTGTGTGCCATTCAACCTCTGCTGCAACTACTCAGCTCTGCCACTGTAGCATGAAAGCACCTGTAACTGATATATAAATGAAAGAGGGTGGCCATGTTTCAATAAAATTTTATTTACCAAAACAGGGCCAGGCTACATATGGTCTGCGAGCTGTAGTTTGCTGACCACAGATCTAGTACCTTCCTAAGAAATTGGGCTTGCACATGCTTAAAGCATGGGTAGACTGAAGGTTTAAATTATGTATTATTTACAAACTATGTATGTTCTAACACAGAGAAGGAAGAAGAAAATAAAGAACGACAATGAACAAAGGAGATGAAAGAAAGCTGATTTTTGGTCTCAAGCCTGGGGGAGAAGAACGCAGAAAAGAGCCAGAAGGAATAAAAGGCAAAACCTGTCTTGTAAAGGAGGCACACACTTGGATGAATGCGAGACAATGTAGAGAACAAGAGAGCAAGAAATCAAGGGACACAGACTCCAGAACATTCTCTGCCCTTGCCAGCACTGTCTCAACGTCTTCCTGACCTCAGCTTCCTCTTCTGCAAAACGCAGAGCTGGGACAAAGAGCTGTACCATTCTGTCATTCCGCCCAATCCCAGCTTCACAAAGTCTTCAAAATCCCGAGCCAAGCAGGGAACAAAGACGCAGCACGCTGCTGCAGAGAAGCCGCTGTGGGAGGGAGCAAAGGTGTCTCTTGGTGAGGACAGATCCCTATCTTCTTCCTACAGCACATTATGCTGAAGACATATCTGAGCTTGTGCTTAAATAAACAATTTAATCAGCAGCCCCAAGTTTCCTTTTATCACCCTATCTCCCAGCTAGACTGAATAATTATTTTCCATCTTCTAACCGCTGGACTGTTAAGTATCAGCTGAGGCAAACAGAATATCAGGCATTGTTGAATGGCGTCACACCCCTTGGCTTTCACTAACGCAATTCCCAGGGTGGCTGCTTTTTTAAAAGACCTTGCAACTAAACATGGATCTCGGAATGATAGTGCTGTAGAGAAGTACTTTGTAGTGTGGGAGGAGGGAAAGGGTTTTCATCTAGTGTAACTGCCATCAGCATTCTGGTCATTAACAAAGAAAACAATATGTGGGTCAGGTTGCAAGCAATCCCATCAAGGCTTTGAACAGGGAGAGTATTTCTAGACTCTGTCTGGAGATCAACCCCTTAGATTTTCTCAGCCTTACTTCTCCACCTGTACAATGGAGCTAGGAATGTTCGCCTTGCATGGTAGTTTTGGAGAATAAATCTGATAATGAAGAAATGTGTCTGAACCAGCTCCCAGCACATAGACGGGGTATACTCTAAATAAGACTGATAGAACTCAATTCTTACACAAGTAAGGTCACTCTACCTGGGCTGGGAATTGCAGGCCTTAAAAAAGATGTTTTTCCAGCTCTTGATCAATCTCCCCATGATATGTGCCTCCTACAGAGCTGTTCTCCTACAGAAGAGTCCTGGCTGGTGTAGACATTATTTACATTTACAAAAAAAAAAAAAAGCACTAGGGACTCCACCCCTTGGTTGTTGTCCCACCTTTACAGCAGTGTGGAATTAAGGAAGTACATAGGAGCCCAGAGAATTCAGGAATGTAAAATCTTCTGGGCAATCAGACCTGCCATCCACTGAGTCACAGGTTTCTTTTGGCAGGTATACACTGGACACACCCTTCCTGTCCCTGCCGCCCTTCCCAAGTCCACTCTCTCTCTCACCCTCCCCGAGGTCAATGTCCCTTACAAACCCTCCACTCATGTGGCCAGCAGGGAGAGGAGCTACCTAGCTCACCACAGAGGCCTTTTCTGGTCCAACCATCACTGGCTCTTCATTCCCACTGCCCCTCTGCAGGCTCCAGGTGACTCATAGGAAGTCCTGTAGCTACCTTCGTGCTGTTCTCTGTGACCTCAGCCTCACTCCCCTCCATTCCATTCTCCACACAAGGCCAATAGGCCATTCCAAAGACTCAAATCTGCTCCTGACTCTGCCCTGCTCAAGATCCATGGCACGTAGAACAAAGTTCAAGCACCTCAGCAAGATTGAGAAAGCCTGTCCTGACCTGGCTACAGACCTTGCTAAGATCCCTCATCTGTAGGCCTTCATTTTTGCACTGCTCTCTGCTTTTCATGCCCCTCTCATATGCTGGTCCCACTTCTGCTAGGTCTTCGTGTGTGTGTGTGTGTGTGTGTGTGTGTGTTTTACTGGGGATTGAACTCAGAGCCTTCACACTGAGCTACATCCCCAGCTTTTTTTATTTTTTATTTTGAGACAGGGTATCATTGAGTCACTAAATTGCCCAGGCTGGGCTTGAACTTGCAATTCTGCTGTCTCGTCTCCTCCAGGGGGCTGGTGCTGGTGCTGGGATTGCAGATGTGTGCCACCACACCTAGCCTCTGCTCAGTCTCTAACATCCAGCGCAAATGCCACCTGTCTCTTATACTTGTACTACAGGCTGACCCAGTTGTCCCCTCTTCTCTGCTCCTGGAGTAACCTATGTCTATTCTAGTACTTGCTGGGCAT